GAGGATGCGAAACAAGCAATCCGCTCGAGACGTCCCCGCAATCTGGGCGCGAACGGACGAATGATATCCCCCCAGGCGGCCCCACGTTGGGCTTAAACCAGCGCTTCGTCCGAGACTTCCTCAGATTCTGCTCCGCCACCATCATCATGATCCTCCTCCTCCTCCTCCCCATCATAATCATCGTACTCATAATCGTCATCATACTCGTTGTCGTCGTTGTCAGCACCATCATCATAACAGTCATCATTAATGTAAGCACCATCAGCAATATTTCATGACCATCATCATCATCGTCATCGACATCCTCGTCATCATCGTCATCACCATCCTCAGCATCACCATCAACAGCAGCATCGCCATCAGCATCAGCATCAGCATCAGCATCATCAACGCCATCATCAACACCATCATCAACACCATCATCATCATCGCGACCAGTATCGACATCAATGTCATAACCATCAACAACACCAACTTTTTCATCATGATCATGATTATCATCATCATCCTCATCATCATCATCATCATCAGCATCATCATCGGCATGGCCACCACCATCGTCATGATCGTCATTGTCCTCATCGTCATCTTCAGTATCGTCGTCAGCATCACCTTCGCGATCACCGTCGTAATTATCGTCGTCATACTATAGTCTTGACCCTGAGTGTGACTCTGGTGAGGAACAGGCGGAGGTGGAAGGAGTCGTTGAGGTCGGTGTAATGATTGTTCACTGCGTGGAGCTCCCCATCTGTGCATCTACTACGCCGTTACAAAAGTTCGTCACGTTTCATGAGAGCTTGAAGGTGGCATGGGTTTCGTGTCTTCCTTCCGCGTGAGCAAGCGGGCAGAGGCTGACCACTGCCCTGGCCGCGCCGAGCTGGCCCCCCCTTCCCCCTTCGAATCCTAGCGGACTGAGTCAAGAGCGGTCGGATCAAAGATCGGGGATTTCTAAAAGTGGGATTTCCTCCCTTACTATAATAGTATAGATTTAAAACGAGACATTTTGAAATCCCGATGTGAATTCACACGGTTCCAGAAATCCCACCGGGGCGGGATTTGTCTTTGCTTATGCAAGATGATCGACTTTTATTTTATGACGAAACTTTTGTAACGCCGATGAGGGGATCGACGCTCGCCGCGCGGTGTCTGTCATACAAATACCGCTAGGGGATCGACGCTCGCCGCGCGGTGTCTGAAATACCGCTGAGGGGATCGACGCTCGCCGCGCGGTGTCTGAAATACCGCTAGGGGATCGACGCTCGCCGCGCGGTGTCTGACATACCGCTGAGGGGATCGACGCTCGCCGCGCGGTGTCTGAAATACCGCTAGGGGATCGACGCTCGCCGCGCGGTGTCTGAAATACTGCTGAGGGGATCGACGCTCGCCGCGCGGTGTCTGAAATGCCGCTAGGGGATCGACGCTCGCCGCGCGGTGTCTGAAATACCGCTGAGGGGATCGACGCTCGCCGCGCGGTGTCTGAAATACCGCTAGGGGATCGACGCTCGCCGCGCGGTGTCTGAAATACCGCTACACCGTTACAGAAGTTCGTCACGTTTCATGAGAGCTTGAAGGTGGCATGGGTTTCGTGTCTTCCTTCCGCGTGAGCAAGCGGGCAGAGGCTGACCACTGCCCTGGCCGCGCCGAGCTGGCCCCCCCTTCCCCCTTCGAATCCTAGCGGACTGAGTCAAGAGCGGTCGGATCAAAGATCGGGGATTTCTAAAAGTGGGATTTCCTCCCTTACTATAATAGTATAGATTTAAAACGAGACATTTTGAAATCCCGATGTGAATTCACACGGTTCCAGAAATCCCACCGGGGCGGGATTTGTCTTTGCTTATGCAAGATGATCGACTTTTATTTTATGACGAAACTTTTGTAACGCCGATGTATGTGCATGGACCTTTTTCCGCCGTGTCTAGGCGCAAGAGACTTCGAATATGAACGGGCTTGAGTATTGATCGACTGTGAGTACGGGCTTGACTATTGATCGACTGTGAATGAGTCTACCTGCTTCCTGGGGCTTCCTGGGGCCTCCTGATGCCTCCTGAGGCCTCGTATGGCCTCCTGGGACTTCCTGGGGCCTCCTGGGAAGGGCTGGTGCTCCAGGAGAGGCCCAATCTATAACATCATAAACAGGACTCTCAGGATTGGGGCCACAAGAGAGGGGCAGTCTATAGGAACAAGCGTAAAACACTTGGGATTCGTGCCCCATGCCAAGCCCAACATATGTAGGCGGCGCGCCCAGGGGGGAAGCGAGAACGAGAAGGCCTTCTCAGAAGGCTCGGAAGTTCCCGGGACTTCTGACAAATCTTCCCAGTCTTCCCCAAAGACAGAAACAACTTCTCAGAACGCCGGAGGCCTTCTGAGAAGTCCCGCCGCCTTCAGAGAAGGCCTTCTCCTGCTCATTTCCCCCCCTCGCTTGCCGCCGAATACAGGAACCGATGCAAAACACGAGTGATTGGAGACACAAAGGAAGGACAACCAATACGAAAATACGTCAACACATAAGCATTCGTGCAACCGATGGGAACATACGTAAATCACCCGGGGTGCTGGAGCCACTCCTGTGCGTAAGTCTGAATGTGATTGAGCCTGATGGGTACGAGTCTGAGTAAGGGTGAGTCAGAGCACGAGTGAGTTTGAGCACAGGTGAGTCTGAAACATCCTCCCAATAGGGGCCCTGGGGAGTGAAGACCAACGCCTCACCCGAGACATCCTCAGAATCTACTCTGAACGCAGACGAAAGTGGCAACCAAGAAACAAGCGAACCGCTCGAGACATCCTCAACATCTGGCCCCCAGGGGGTGCGAAAACCAACGCCTCGCTGGAGACAGCCACAAAATCTGCTCCGACTGCGGAGGATGTTGCGCTGGCAAACAGGCAAACCGCTTGAGACATCCCTGGCATTTTGGCGCGAACGGAAAATGCACTACCCCCTGGCGGCTCCATCTTGGGGGTGCCGAAACCCGCGCTTCGATCGAGACGTCCTCAACATCTGCTCCGAAAGCGGATCATGCCGGGCGGTGAAGCAGGCGAGCCGCTCGAGACATCCCAGCCATTTGGGCGCGAACAGAGGAGTGAGATACCTCCTGGCGGCTCCCCCTCGGGGGTGCTTTCAAACCCGCGCCGCGCTCGAGGCATCCTCAGAATGTGCTCCGCCATCGTCATCACCATCATCATTATTACCATCACCTACTCTCATCACCATCATCATTACAACCATGATCATCATCAATACCATCATTATCAACACCATCATCATCAGCATTGTCATCTGCATCATCATACTCAACAGCGTCGTGGTCATCACCGTCATCACCAGCAGCATCATCATCAACACACCATCACATAATATATAATACCATGCCATGCCATACCATAACATAGCATCCAGTGCCATAGCATAGAACCGCATAACATAACATGAGGAAAGGAGGAGGGAGGAGGTGTGAAGCATCCTCGGCGCGGTCGGAACACTTATTCACTGCGGTAGGCTCCACGTATGTGCATGTATCAGCATGGGCCTGTCCGCCGTGAGTGTCTAAGCGCAAGAGTTTTTGACTATACACAGGCTTGAGTATTGACGGTCTGGGAGCGAAGTTAACAGTGAATGAGTTGGAGTATGAATGAGTCTCAGTAGTCTCAGTGCGTCTATGCGCATGAGCCTGTGGCCTCCTGGGGCCTCTTGAAGCCTCTTGAGGCTTCCTCTGGCCTCCTTGGGTCTCTTGTGGCCTCCTGGGGCCTCCAGGAGCATCCCGGGGCCTTCTGGGGAGGATTCTTGCCCCAGGAGAAGCCCAATCTACAGGAACATAACTAATACACTTCGGATTGGAGCCACAGGAAAAGGGCCGTCTACAAGAACACGCGTAAAACACCAAAGACTCGTGCCCCAGGGGAGGCCCAATGCATAGGAGCACACATAAAACACCTGGGAGTGGATACACAGAAGAAGGACAATATATGTATACATACGTACAACACAAAGAAATCGTGCTCCAGGGGCGGCCCACTCTATAGGAACATATGTAAAACACCGAGGCCTGCAACCACTCCGTTGGCCTTCTGAAGCCTCCTGCTCCTGGGGCCTCGTGGGGGCTCCTGGGGCCTTCCTGGGCCTCCTGGTGCCTCCTGCCGCTTCCTGTGGCCTCCTGTGGCCTCCTGTTGCCTGCTGGGGCCTCCTGGTGCTTCCTGGGTCCTGGAACTTCTTGGGGCCTCCTTGGGCCTCCTGTGGCCTCCTGTGGCCTCCTGGGACCTCTTGTGGCCTCCTGGGGCCTCCTGGAACCTGCTGGAGCCTCCTGTTGCATCCTGAGGAGGATCCGTGCCCACGAGTCTGGCCAGCAAAATAAGCAAACCGATCGAGACATCCTCAAGATCTGGCCCCCTTGGGGAGCGACAACCAGCGCCTCGCTCGAGACATCCTCAAACTCTGCTCCGACCGCGGAGGATGTCGGGTGGTGAGGCAAACCGATCGATAGATCCCCGCCATGTGGGCGCGAACGAAGGTATGAAATACCTCCCGGCAGCTCCCCACTGGGGGTGCTGAAACCCGTGCCTCGCTCGAGACACCCTGAGAATGTGCTCCGCCATCATCATCATCGTCATCATCACCATCATCATCATCATCATCATCAGCAGCAGCAGCATCATCATCGCCATCATCATCATCATCATCATCACCATCATCATACTCACCAACATCACAATCATCAACATCATACCATAACATTGCATAACGGAACACATCATAACACATGATAGCATAACATACCATGACATAGCATAGCATACCCTACCATTGCAGACCATGCAATAACCAAACCATACCGCACCATCGCAAGAAATAGCGGATCGTGCCATGACATACCATACCATAGTATGTCATATCATACCGTAGCATCTGATTGTGACTCTGGGTGAGGGAGAGGAGGAGGAGGCGGAGGAGGAGGAGGAGAGGGGAGGTGAGTGGAAGGAGTCGGCGCGGTCTGAGTAACAAGAACAACACATTCTTCATGATATGGGGATTAACGAGAACCCCATCCATTGGGTATTGGGAACAAGAGCCCCATCCTTTGGATACGGGCAAATAAAAAATCATGCAATTCAAGCATTCACCTTGGAATTCGCTGAATCGACACTGGCTGCATGGTCACTTTGGCAGCCGATGCGTTTCATCAGATGGTGAATTATTCCGTTCATACCTCTCCTGTGGAACGTGGCCTTCGCCAGCCAGCGGGCCCCGTGGAAGAATCCGTGGGACCGGCCTTTCAGCCAGGCGTCCTACGAACCTCCCCGTCAGTCGCATTCGCCACCCACCTTGTCAAGCTTACTCATAATCTTTTGCTGGTGGCTCTGTACCTGGCGCACCATGGAGACCAGGTCCTTGATCTCTGTACGTTTGGCGAAGCCGCGAACTGCCATGATCTTCTCTACGATCGCCGCTATGGAAACTTCGTTCTCACTGCGGCCCGGCGTCCTCTCGGCAGCCTCATCGAAAATCTGTCGCAAGTGCTCCTTCGACCACATTGGGTCGATATTCAGATCCGACACCGCGCCCTTGGCACGAGGTGGCGTGCTCTAGACAAGCGCGTTCCACTACTCGCAGAGTAACTACTCGCAAATGGCCTGGATCCGCCGCGGGGGATGCACGATATATCGCATCGAGGCAAACACCTGCTTGTTCCTGACGTTTGCGAGTAGGCAGTTTGCAAATAGTGGAAGACGCTCGGTGATGCCGCGAAGCTCATAAGTGTGCTGCAACTTCCAAGATTCCAGACTCTGGAAGGCCGGGGCCCCTGGTTTCCCGGGCGCTTTTGAAACACTCCGGGAGCTCTCGAGGTGTGCCGCGCGCGTCTTCTGGGAGCCAGGAGCGTCCGAAAACGGGACAGGAGGGACCGAGGAGGCTGCGAAGACAGTCCAAGAGGGCTTCAATTCGCCCCATGATCGCCCGCAGACGCCCTGGATGGCCTCAGGACGGCCAGAGCCCCCAGGAAGCTCCAAATGGGCCCTAAGAGCACCCCCAAGAAGCCCTAAGAGGCCAATGTCATGGATTGTCTTCAGGTATTCTGGATAGATTTAGCCTTCTCGTACTTTCCTCAAGCCGTGCCTGCACTTAGGGGTTCTTGCCTTCTTGTCTGAGGAACTGGGGGTGCGTGGCTGCTTTGCTGTCGCCGTCGCCGCCCCGTCTGGGCCTGCGTGCCGGTCTAGCGTCTATGTTGTCGCCGTCGCCGCCCCGTCGCCGCCTTCTCCCGGCCCGTCGCCGCCGTAGAATACACCCCCCGTATTGCAATTGTCATATGATTCTGCCACATCGCCCATCTGAAACATGAACTCATACCATTCCAGCCCAAGAGGTATCGCCCCCCCCATCATCCTCTGCAAGAACTCCTATGCGCGCACACCCGTTTATCCGAGATCCGCATTGTATTTTTAAAAGGCAAAAGAAAGGACGCACTGCACTCTCGCGCGTCGTCGCGCGCGCATGCCAACATCTTTCAAAACAAATCATGGGTCGCAAAAATTTCAAAAACCGAACGCCCGAAACACAAATAACAAATGGTTCCGCAACACGGACTTTCAAACAAAAACTTGCGCGCGCGTTGTTGCGAACTCGTACGAAAGCCATTGTGTTGTCCAACCTGTTCATAGCACGCTACCAAACGGGTGTGGCTCGCGCGCGTGTGGGAATCGTTCGAACGCCCTTGCGCGCGTGCTATCGCGAGAACCGTTTTGCAAAAGCGGGACGAAGTGCAAACGCGCGCGTCGACCAAATAGTTTCGCAACGGCAGCTTTCAAACAACATTGCGCTCGCACATTTGCGAATTCTTCGGGGGACCACAGGTTGTTCAACATTGCCACGGAATTTAGCCAAACGGGCCTCTCGCGCTGCATGTCGGAATCATTCGAGCGCCCTTGCGCGCTTGATGGAGAGGCACGGTCCGTGCCAAATGAAAACAATGCGGGCCAAACTCGCGCGTCGGCCGCGCGCGCATGTCCAACTCCATCCAGAAAATTTCATCACGGACGCGAGGACGCCGTCGCCGCGGCCGGCGTGATCAGCATCGGCGCCGTCACTGGCCGCGCCGTTGTCATTGCCAACATCGCCACCAACATCGCTACTATCATCAGCTTGCCTACTGTTGTCGGTGTTGCCATGATACCGCGCCTGCCAAAGTCGCCGGCTCGCACTGACGTGCCCGCTGGGGATGTGCCAAGCGGTCACCGCCACCGCGGCCGTCGCGCCAATGCCAAGCAAACTGGCCGCCGCGCGAAAATGCACGCGCGGGCTGGCGCGGCCGCAAAGATGCACCACCGAACACCAAGCACCCATGGCAATTGTAAGCTGCAGCACTTAGGTCACACGACGTAGATTCCCCCTGCTGAGAATTATCCCGGAGCGACCCTACCTAGGAGTTGGAACCCCTAGGAAGGCCGCATCATCAGTAACAGTAAAGCTAAGCTAAAACTAAACTAAAGCTAAGCTAAAGCTAAACTGAAGCTAAGCTGAAGTTAAGCTGAAGCTAAAGCTAAGCTAGAGCTAAGCTAAAGCTAAGCTAAAGCTAAGCTGAAGCTAAGCTGAAGCTAAGCTGAAGCTGAGCGAAGCTGAGCTAAAGCTGAGCTAAACCTGAGCTAAAGCTAAGCTGAAGCTAAGCTGAAGCTAAGCTAAAGCTAAAGCTAAGCTAAAGCTATACCACAGCTAAGCTAAACATAAGGTAAAACTAAGCTAAAGCTAAGTTAACGCTAGCCCACAGCTAAGCTAAAACTAAGGTAGAACTAAGCTGCAACTAAGCTAAAGCTAAGCTAAAGCTAAAGCTGAGCTAAAGCTAAGCTGAAGCTAAGCTGAAGCTAAGCTAAAGCTAAGCTAAAGCTAAGCTAAAGTTACGCTGAAACTAAGCTGAAGCTAAGCTGAAGCTAAAGTAAAGTTAAGCTAAAGCTAAGCGGAAGCTTAAGCTAAAGCTAAAGCTTTGGCTAAACCAATAACTAAAGCTCCCGGGGGACTGGGGGAACCGCGGGGCGGATACCGGGGAAAACGCCCGGGGCGGTTTCCACTGCCCGGCCCCTTTTCAGATAGAGAGTAAGAACCCTTCTAGGTAAAGCCTAGGTAGGGAAAAAGCCCCCCCCCAGGATTAGCCGCAGTCCTTGTCCTTTTAATTGTGCACTGTGAACACGATTCTGCCCCATCGTCGATCCTAAAGCTGAAGCCGTGCCATCCTAGCCCAGACAGATCGGCACCGCCCGGCACATTCTGCCAACAATTGCTACGCGCACGTACTTTTTTTAATCAGGAATCCCCTGCAACGAACGGGGCGAAATTCACGCTCGCGCGTCGTCGCGCGCGCATGCCCACAAACAAAAAAACAAAACCAAAAAAAACTCATGGGTTCGCGAGGATGTCGAACTCAGCGTCCAAAGCGCATCACCCCGACGGAAAGGCCCCACATTAAATCCGTTCGGCGAATCTGGAAATAACCTTCGCTGTCGCCCTCGCAATTAGTGAAGCGCCCAAATTGTCTTTCTCGCCTTTGCGCAGGGCCCTGCGTCATTCTCATTCTCGCCTTTGCGCAAGGCCCTCACCCGCCCCCCGCGTTGCCCTTGCCTCGCCCTCCTGCTGTTTTTCGTCACCCACCGCCTCGTCTCCTGTCTATTACAAGAGCGCGTGCGTCGATTTTCCTGGACGCCGTCGCCGCCTCGGCCAGCGCGGGCGCATTCTCCAATGGTCGCGTCGCGCGGCCGTTGGGGCACCCCCGCGGGCCAGGCCGTCGGGGCAACCGCGCGAGCCGCTGGGGCGCGGGAGCAAGCCGTTGGGGCAACCCCGCAGGCGCCGAGCTAGTCACGGCCGCGCTCAGGCGGTTACCGCCCCCAGCCAGGACGCAAGGATTTGCCCTTGCGCCCGGAGGATGACGGACTGAACGAGGGTGGGAAGGGGGGAAGGCGTGCTTTACGAGCGGGGCAGAGAAGAAGGCGAGGGAGGTCGGGGGGGCGAAGGGGGGGAAGGGAGATTTTGTTGGAGTGACAACGCGCGCTTGTTTCAACCTGCCCCCCGTCATCGCCTAGTCGCGCGGGCGCTACTCCCGCGCGAACCCCCTGAAGGCGCGACCCCCCGAGGGGCCGACGCCCCCCCCCGGAAACGCCCCCTAGGGCCCTGCCGCCCCCCACCCCCCCCACGGTGTAACCTGGAGCGGGGGTGGCTGTTTCTATCGTGAAATATTGTCGTACGAAACAGCACATGCGCGAGCGTCAGCTCCTGCTGCGGCTGGCGCCGCGGCAACGGGCGCAGCCGGCAAAAGCGGAGCGCCCGGAGCGATCGGGGCTGCTCCAGCCACCCCAGGCACGGCTCCACAGGCGCCCACGATCACAGGGCCCAACAGCTGGCGCAGGGCCGAGGGCGGCGAGCAGGCGGACCAAGCCCCCACCAAGAGCCGGCGCGCCCTCCGCCGCGGCGGCTCCGCCGCCGCCGGCAGGATCAGCTCGAGCGGGAGGCGCTGCCACTGGCGCGGCCCCCCGGACGAGGACGCCCGCGGCGGGGCCCGGGCCCGCACCAGCCCCAGCTGGGGCCAGCCCCGGGGGCGCCGGAACGCTTTCGACACACAAGTACAAAATAGCATGAAATTTTAGAATTTTAATACAGAGTTGAAACTGTTGGCCCACCGGGCCGCCGCACAGCTGAGGCAGTCCAAATACGAGCTTCAAAGATCCCCTTCGTTTGATCAACACTACATCGCCCACGACCCGTCGAACGATACCTGGTCGGGTTATTTAAACAACCAGCTTTTCGGGTACGACAGCTCCCATTACACCGCTTTGGCCCCACCAGGAGCGCCAACAGCAGGACCCCCCCCGCTGCTGAAGGCCCCCTGGAATGGCGACCCCCCCCTACCGGAACGCCGACAAGGGGAGGGCCCCCCAGCAATGGATGCACGTTCCCTCCAGGAGGTGCCAGGCCCACGCGGGTGTACCAAGAGGCACGGGCGGCCGTGAGCTGAGCGACCGTCGGCAGCACCCTGAACTGGTAGTACGTAGCCCCTGGTCCGGCACGTGGAACGAGCCCATCTGGCCCGACGATTGGGTACCAATCGAGCACGTCCGCGCCGATCAGGTCCTCCTCGTACTCGTCATAGTCCAGGGTCACGACACCGACGCGGGTCAAATAGTTCATAGGCGTGCCGCTGCAACATCTGATGTGCCACAACTCTCGGCCTCCAACGTTTTACTTCATCACAAAATACTCCTCTACTAGGCCGAAGGGGCGGGCCGCGACAGCTGGAGCCGCCACGCCATCTTCAACCACGAAGCGCCCGCCGCTTGCGGACGGCGGCAGTCTGCTGACGGCCAAGGACGGTGACGTCGTCTGGGTGCTCCAGTACTGGTCCCTGATGTGGCGCGTCTCTTCTTGTACTGACCGTGGAAACCTTCCGCCGCAAGCAAGCTGCGCAAGGGATGGCCGGAGCCAATTGCAAGCCAACAGCCACTCGTGACGAAGAGCGACAGCGCGATGCAGGCCTACTCGAGCGGGTTCGCGCGCTCGTGAATTATCTCTTTATACTGGGTGGGCTCCGCAGGCGGGCAGTTGCACTGCACCTCTGGTGCACTCACTGGACAGGGCGGCGATCGCTGGGCCCGGAGGAGAAGACTGTTGGAGATTCCCATGGCAAGTTCGGGAAGCGAGCTCCGTACGAACTGCATAGGCTGGGGCCTGCTTGAGCCTTGAGGATGACGGAACGTTCGTCCCCGTGCGGCCAGCTGCGACACTAGCGCGCGTGTGTGTGTGTGTGTATATGTATATGTATACATATATATACATATATACGTATATGCGCATATATTTATATATTCACATACACATATATATATATATATATATATATATGCTTTCATCTTTACAGATTGCACACCATCGACCAAACAGCAACTATTGCACAACATATATTGCAGAAGGAATATTTCACCACATAGATGGCAACACCTAGATTGCACTACAGGTGTTGCGCCGCATAGATTGTACCACACATGTATTGCTCCACGCGGATTGCATACCATAGCTATTTAGAAACAAACTGCCTTGGGTCCACGCTGGCTACTATTTCAGCTTGCGCCGCTCCGAGACGGCCCAAGGAGACCCCCAAAACGCCCCAGGACGGCCCAGGAGGCAACCAGGAGCCCAAGAGTGTCCCCAAGACGGCCCAAGAGGCCCTCAAGCCGCCCTCACAGGCACCCGAGATCCTGAGATCCGACGTTGCGAACAAAAGTGCAACATCGTAGAAGATCATGCCCGGAGCCCTGGACCACATATTTCCGAGTAGGCATCTCAAGAGACCCTCATATGCATCCAAGAGGCCTCTGAACCACAGCCCCAGCACGGCAGCGGGATGGGCCGAAGGTCATCAAACCTGGGCTGGCACGGGAACGGAAAGAGCGCTGCAGGAACTTGCCCGAGATAGCTCATGGCCCCCTTCGCTCTTGGGGACCTTTGTGTTCAGAGCTTGGTACGTCATCGCTCTTCGTTGGGAGCCCTGAAGTTCAGATACTTTTCCGTTGCCGCTCGCTCTTGGGAGCCTTGCTGTGCAGAGCTGTTCACATCACCGCGCTCTAGGGAGCCTTGGTGTCAAGAGCTTGTTGCGTCACCGCTCGCTGTTGGGAGCCATGATGTGACTTGGCATCTCTGGCCTTTGGCCGTCTTGGGGCTCGCTTGGGAGCCTCTGGGGGCTCTTGGGGCTGTCTTGGGGCCCTATTGGGCTGTTTTGGGACCCTCTTGGGCTGTCTTGGGCCCTCTTGGACCGTTCTCGGGCCCTTTGCGGGGCCTCGTGGGCCGTCTGGGGACTATCTTTGGAGCCTCTTGGGCCGTTTTGGACCGATCTTGGCCCGACGAGGCGAGAACCCTGACAACTATCAATGATGTTTGCCTCTTTGGGCCCTCTTGGGAAGCCTCTTGAAGGCCTCTTCGGGCGTCTCGTTGCCCTCTTGGGCAGTCGTGGAGGCCTTCGGCCGTCTTCGAGCTTTCCTTGGGGCCTCTTGGGGCCCTGTTTGGGGGCCGCTTGGGGCCTCTGGGGGACCTGTTGGAGTCTCGGGTACCCCGGGCCGATGGCCCGAAAAGTCCGTTCGGGTACCCCGGCTGGGCCCCCTCTTGGAGCCGTCTTTGGGGCCTCTCGGGCGACCTTGGGGCCGTATTGGGGCCTCCTGGGGCCGTTTTGGGGGCCTCCTCGGCCGTCTTGGGCCGATCTTGGGGGCCTCTTGGACCGTCTTGGAGCGTCGGGAAGCCGAAAAGACCAACACCCCCCCACACCTTCAGAAACCACACACGCACACACACACACACACACACACACACACACACACACACACACACACACACACACACACCCACCCACACACACCCACACACACCCACACACACACACACACCCACACACACCCACACACACCCACACACACCCACACACACCCACACACACCCACACACACACCCACACACCCACACACCCACACACCCACACACCCACACACACACACACACACACACACACACACACACACGCGCACACACACACAAATCAATGATGTTTGCATCTGTGGGCCGTCTTGGGAGGCCGCTTCGGGCGTCTTGGATGCCTTTTGGATTGTATTGGAGGTCTCTCGGGCTGTCTTGGAAACGTTTTGGGCGAGGTTGGAGGCCTCTGGATCCCTCTGGAGCCGTCTTGGAGGCCATTCTTGAACCGTCTTGGCCTACCTTGCGGCCGCTGGAGGCCTCGCGGGAGGAACCTTGCGCCATCACACCTGGGCCTCAAGCTGCCGCCCCGCTCGAACTCCCCCCGAGTGCTTGTCCCAGCCAACGGATCGCACGCTGCGCGCACTCTCCGTCATCTGGGCGTTCGGCTGCCAGCCCCTTCGAAATCCCCCAAGTCTCCCCCCTGCCCAACAGATCGCACGCGAACCACGCCTTCCGCTGTCCGCCGCCCCCAGGAGTGCGCAGCGTGCCAAGCGGCTGGCAACCATGTTGGATCCTGTCTAAACAACACCCCTAGCCGGGCGGCCACCCGGAAAAGGTTGGAGGCAAGGGTTTTCCTCCCGCAATGGCCCCAATAAAGCCTCCAACATGGTGGAGATGGCCCAACAAACAACCAAGATGGCCCCAAGATAGCCCATGGTTCCAAGATGGCTCCAGCACGGCCCAAGATGCATCTAAGGTTGCCTGAGATGGCCTCAAGCTGGCCCCAAACGGCCCAACGAGCCCCCCCAGAGGCCCCTAAGACGGCCCAAGATCCCAAGATGCCTCCAAGAGGCCCTCAAGGAAGGCCCGGCGAGGCCAACATTTTTCCATGTCCTTAGATTGCTGCACGATTATGGCATTTGCTTCAAAACGGCCTTTCGACAGCCCACAACGACACAAGAGGCCCCTATATATTGGCCCAAGATAGCCCAAGGCAAGAGGTCTCCAAGATGGCCCCAAGAGAGCCCAAGAGGCTCCCAAGATGGCCTCCAAACCGCCCTCAGAGAGCCCAGCGACTGCCCAGAGAGGCTCCCACAGCGGCTCCCAACTGCGTCATACGTGCCAGGAACGCCGCAAGACGGCCAAAGACGCCCCCGAGAAGCCTGAAGCTACCAAGGTCTCTTCCTCCTCCTCATCATCCTCCTCTTCCTCCCCCGTGTTCCCCGAAGGGCTTCCGCAACGGCCGGGGGAGCACATGGTCCAATAGCGTGGCCAAGCTTTGCCTCAACGTTTGGCCACATAAGCGTATGTCTTTTAAAAAAGGGCGGCGGTGCTGCGCCGTAAGCGTCTTCGATCCGCCACCCCCTGGTGATTCATGACAGGGGTGCCTGGCGCGCTAGACGCCTGGTGGTTTTTGGATGTTTTCTAAAGAACTGCCAGTGGGGTCTCGAACCGACCCGCAGGAATCCCCCAGGAGCATCACAGCAGGTCACAATAATTACACAAGAAGTTCCCAAGAGGTCTCTTCATCCTTCTCCTCATCCTCCCTTTTCCTCCCACTCATCCTCCTTCTCTTCCTCCCCCACGTGTTCCCCGAACGGCTTCCACAAGGGAACGCATGGTCGAATAGCGTGGCCAAGATGTGCCCAACCGCTTGGCCACAGAGGCGTATCCTAAAAGGAAGGGGGCGGCGGTGGTTCGCCGCAAGCGCCTTCGATAGCTCAAGAAATGGATGATCTTACCATCTTTCATCAAACTTTCAAGCGCTTCCCTCTCAGCAAAGCCGTTCTGGTCCTCGTCTGCTAGCGAGAGCAAGTTCTCTAGCTCCTTCGCGTGCTCCCGCTCCTGGTGGATCCGTTCCTCGGCCAACTGGAGAGCACCTGGCTGCGAAATCTTCATCGCCCTGTCGACGAAGCAACTTGTTACGATATTAAGCAGCGACAGCTGCAAAAACGCAATGAAAAACAGGAAGACGTCAGACACCAACCCGCCCATGGCGTTCAGAGCAAAATAAACATCCCCCCAATCCGAGCCACCGAACGCGGCCATGAACAGCGATCTCATAGAAATGCCAATCGAGCCGAAATACTCATGGAGGGCTGCCACATGCTTGTTTTGAACGTCTCCGATGTCTGTGCTACCGATCACCTGCAAGTAGTGCAAGTGATCTGCCACACTCGACGTGAAGTACATGGAGAAGGTCAAGAACACTGTCGCGAACAAAACGAAACTCCAGAACAGGTACATGATGGACCCGAGGATCATGTTAAAGATCAAGCGAAGCTCTGTGAAGACTTTGATGACACGCATGACGCGCAAGATCCTGGCCGCCTTCAAGAGGCGGAACATCCGGACACAGGCTGCCGACTGGCTGACACCGTGAATTGTGTCGAGACGTAGGCTGTGCACGATGAGCTGGAGCGCGCCCTGCAGGATGAGAAGAGCGTCCAGCCAATTCCACGCCGCGTCCTGATTCCAGAAATAGAACCAGCGGTGAACGGCCAGCTTGCACGCAGCCTCGATACTGAACACAACCAGAAAAAACGCGTCCGCAATGGCCCTCCACTCTTCTCGGCGTTCATTGATCATGATACCATTTTTGGAATTGTCGATGTCCTCGTTAGTGAAGTAGATCATTGCCCCTGCATTGGCCGCAACCGCAAGGGCGAACAACGCATGGAAACGGTTGCTGGCGACGCACTGTGCGAAGGCACCCTGCCGAGGTGGCTCTTCCAGCATCCAGAAGTCCTCCAGCGTGTGGAAGCAGCTTGCCCACCGATTGCCCATCTGGGAGTATCCGCGAAACTCGCGGGAGGCCGGCTCCTTCAGGAGCGGGTATCGCTCGGACTGTATTCTCCCCAACTCCGCCGCGCCGCTATGTTCGGGGGTTGCTACAGGCGTGCCCGTCCCCGAGTGTCCCCCTGGGCCCTGCAGGCCATCTCTGGCGGCGCGCACCTAAGGTGGGAAGGCTCCTTAGGAGGCTGCTTCTTAGAGGACGCCAGCCATACATGTATAGACAAGGCCAACGCCTTCTACGAAGCGGGGGTGCTTCTAAGAAGCCTTCCCCCCTCCCCCTACAGGGGAGGCTGCTCCACAAGAAACCTTCCACAAGAAACCCAACCCTGAGACCCCAGCAAAACGAAGCCCAAGAAAAACCCAGGGCACCCTGGAGGCCGGCAGAGTGCTCCCTCCTTCGCGTGGGTCTCCGCTGCAAGTGCCCCCCTCTGCGCGTGGCCAACGACCGCGCCTCCCTGGACACGCTGGGGACAGTCGGGTCGGGCGAAAGGGGGGGATAGCAAAGGGGGGGGTTGAGAATCAGCTCACGTGGCTGATTTTCCCGGCGCCGCCCGGCACCGGAGGCGGCTACGTACCCAGACCCCCGACGTCATGATTTTTTCATGACGCGACCCCCAGAGGTCTGGACCCCTTCCCCGGGACCGGCTTTTCATCCCGAGTCGTTTTTTGACGGTCCTGAGGGCCGGTAAGGGTCCCCAGAGGCCGAAAATAGCGAACAACCTGCCGTCGTGATTTTTTCATGACTCGAGGGGGTCTGGGTATCGAGGAATGGGCCCCTCGGCGAGGCCGAAATCAGCTGCATGCGGCAAATTTCGTAACCCCCCCTTTCCCAATCCCCCCCTTTCGGGGAGACGTAAGACCAGGGTACGGGGGACTCGGGTTGGCCCGACGAGGTCGTCAAAAAAATGACGAGGCCGAGCCTGCATGTTGACAAGGCCTCCCGCTGCAGACATCCAACGAAACTCCTCCTCGTCAAAATCCGAGGCGCGGTCGTCAAAAAACGATGGCGAACCCGAGTCCTGGCAAACCCGGGTCTTACGCTCCCCCGACCCTTTCGTCCGGCCCGGGACAGGCCCGGGCCACGGACACACACGGCCCGGCAGCAACCCCGAGATGCACACCCGCGAGGCTCGGCGCCGCGGCCCCGCCCCCGCGCTCGGCGCTCGGCCCGCGCGGTGCCGCGCGCGGCCCCCTCGGCGAGCCGTGCGGCGAGGCGCACCCGGTGGCCCCGGCGGCGTGCAGCTCGGCCCTGATCACCTTGTGAAGGGGCCCTGGGACACACACACACACACACACACACGCACACGCACACACACACACACGCACGCACACACACACACACACGCACACACACACACACACACACACACACACACACAAATAGACACAATCCACAGGATTTTCCCCACATCTTCCCAGATGCTCTGGGTTTCTGTCTCCCCCCCCCCCACTTCCCCTATGTTCCCACACCTTCGGTGGAATCGACGATTCATTGTGTCTCTCTGTGGTTTTTCCCGTCCTGACACCTGCCGGACGTCCGCGCGGAGGAGAAACACACAGACACCATGAATCGTCGATTCCCAGGAAGATATGGGAAGATATGGGACATGGGGGGGGGGGATGACAGAGAAACCCAGACAAGATTGGAATATATATATATACATATATATATATATAGGGGGGGGGGATCCTGCTACTTGTGTGTATTCGTTCGCGCGTGTGCCTCAGAGCCCCTCCGCACCTGCCGGACGTCCGCGCGGAGGAGCGAGCGCAGCTCGTCGACCGAGACGCTCGCGACGAGGCGCGGCCGCTGCGGCGTCGACGCGTCGAGCCACGCCGCCATCGGCTGTTTCTCGGCGCTCCGCCCGCGGGCCGCGGCCTCGCTCCCCTGCAGGAAGGGCGCGGCGCCGGCAGCTCGCCCCCGCGCCGAGCTGCGGGGGGAGCCAAAGGGTACAACGACGCGAAGATCGGGGCAAAATCGGATCGGGATAGCTCGAGATCTCTGAGAATCGGCGGGTTTGGAGGATGGATTGGGCGCCGCGGCCGCTCCAGAGCGTTCCGGAAGGCTCTGGGAGCGCTCCAGAACGCTCTGGAGCGATTTATCCCGATCCTAGCCCTGTTTTGAAGGGGGGGATGTCAAATGGTATAGTGGAAGGGGCCTTGGGACACACAAATAAACACACACACAAATAAAGTGATCCCCCTATTTTCCCATATGTTCGGGGTTTCTGTTTCCCCCCCCCACTTCCCATGTTTTCCTCTATTGAGGGGGGAATCGACGATGAGTTGTGTCTGTGTTTTTTGTTCCCTCCTGAATGGTAGAGAGTCAGCTCGGCTACACGCAAAAGTGACCCTGGGCAAGAGTGACCTTTGGTGCGCGGCTTCTTGGGGGCCGCCTGGGGGCCAAATCTGGGCGCGCAACCAGCTGCTACTGCTTCGTTTTCGGCCATCTGGGGACCCATCTGTGCCCACACCAATCGGGTCGGGCGAAAGGGGGGGATAGCAAAGGGGGTTTGAGAATCAGCTCACGTGGCTGATTTTCCCGGCGCCTCCCGGCGCCGGGAGGCGCCCATGTATCGAGGAATGGGCCCCTCGGTGAGGCCGAAACCAGCTGCATGCAGCAAATTTCGTAACCCCCCCTTTCCCAATCCCCCCCTTTCGCCCGGCCCGAACCAAAGGTCACTCTGGCGAAAGGTCACTCTTACGCCTAGTCGATCAGCTCACGTAGCTGATTTTCCCAGCGCCTCCCGGCGCCGGGAGGCGCCCATGCATTGAGGAATGGGCCCGGCGGTGGGGCCGGAGCCAGCTGCGTGCGGCGGATTTCAGACCGCCCCCTTCCCTATCCCCATTCGGCCCGAGAGATGGACGGCCGGGCCGGACTGGCCACGGGCCAGCGAATCGACGCCGGGAACTCACATTTCCAGCATGCGACACGCGCCCAGGTGGCCCCAGGGTCCCGTCTAGGGGGCCCTCGCGAGAGTCGCTTGGGCCCTCTGGAGGGCCTCCAGGATTGGTCCAACAGCCCGCACGTTCAAACACGACTCGAAGAGCGTGTCCGGTTTGGAGAGGGCCGTAGATTGACTTGCGCTTGGTTTCGAAGGAGATATAGGATTAAGTCGGGCCTGTCCCCCTACAGGTAGATTTTCGACGAAAAATAACAAATACTCAAAAAGATTCAAAAGATGCCCAAAAATAATCAAACAATAGTCCCCATATTATTTTTGACCATTTTTGACTTTTTCCCCTGTAGAGGGACAGGCCCGACTTGAGCGCAGCCAACAGGCGTCTGGCGCGCGCGCGCATGTGTGACGTGTTTTCACGTGGTCAGGCGCGAATGGGGATATCCAACATGCGGTTGGCAGATTCGTCAAACGTGCCAATACCAGGAGGTGGCGGAGACAGATTCGTCCCATCGAGGCGAGGCGCTGAGGCGACGTCTCAGTACCGCCACGGGAGGGTGACCAGCTGACCAACTAAGGTCTCTCCGCGATGCGTTGATCCATCGCCTTGGCGAGTCATGCATTGCTGCCTGTGCTCGTTCTGCAGGCGGGGGTGCTGTATCAATGCATGGTCCACTGAAGAACGCATGCAAAGACATGCGCGGAGGGGGGATCCCACATGCGTCTGGCGCGTGCGCATTCGGGACCTGTTGTCGCGTGTGCAGGCGCGAAGGGTGGATATCCATCATGTGATCAACGGAATGCCCGCACGCAGGACTACAAGCCGGTCGGAAGAAGTGGGTAGAAACATGAAGTAGGAAGGCGTTGAAAATAGAATGAGTTTCCGTCCGCCCCCTAAAGAGAACGGAAGAGGTGACGCCACTCGACCAGTAAAGTAGGAAAGCGCTTCAGGTAGATTGGAATGTGGGAATCCAGAACTACCTACCTTCAACGACCGAGGGTACGAGCGCGGAGGGGGGTATCCAGCACGCGTCTGGCGCGTGCAAACGTGGGGCATGTCTCCACGCGAGCAGGCGCGAAGGGGGGATAGCCTTAGGTCGGGCCTGTCCCTCTACAGGGTGATTTTGGAGGAAAAATAAGAAAGACTCAAAACATGTTCAAAAATGTTCAAACATGGTCAAAACATCGTCCCCTGACTATTTTCCGACTATCTTGGAATTTTCCTCCTGTAAAGGACAGGCCCGACTTAAGGGTAGCCAACATGTGGAAAGCGACTCCCTCGCAGGTGCGGCAGGTTGGTGCCCTGCCGACCCCGGCGATGGGTCCTGACACCGCGGGGATCGTTCGACCTTGAACGCTCGGCCGTTTACGGAGCGCTGGATCGCTCAACGAGGGGCCGATCCTGGGTCTCCGGCGGTTGGCGGTGCGCATACGGAGGTGGAGGGAGGGGGGAGAGCTTCTTAGGAGGCTCCTTCTTAGAAGGCGCTGGCCTTACATCTATAGATAAGGCCCGCGCCTTCTAAGAAGCAGGGGTGCTTCTCAGAAGCCCTCCCCCCTCCCCCCACCCCCCTCTGCGCGTGGCTGAGGCGGCGTTCAACCTTGGACGGCGGCGGAAGGGTTGCCACCGGTCGACACGACGCGAATGGTGGATGCGCACGTGGGACGTGCTTCCTCCCCCGCGCACGTGCTGTTGAGTGGGAAGGCCCTGCCGACAATGTGCTCTATCGCCGCGTGCACTCGCACGCACGTGAAATGGAGGAGGAGGAGGAGGAGGAGGAGGAAGAGGGAGGGGGAGAGCGGTACTCCACATGCGTCTGGTGCGTGCGCATTCCAGAGGGGGAGGAAGGATAAAGGGCCCAGGGACACACAAACAAATAGACACACCTCCCAGCAGACCCCATATTTGCCATATCCTCCAGAGGCCCGCCTCCCCCCCCCACTTCTCAGATGTGCTACGACTCCCTGGGATTCGGCGCCGATTTCTGTCTGTGCATCTGTCCCTCCTCCTCCTCCGCCCTCCTCCCTCCTCCCTCCTCCTCCTCCTCCTCCTCCTCATCCTCCTCCTCTACTCCGCATCCCCCTTCTCCTCCTCCTCCTCCTTCTCCTCCTCCTCCTTCTCCTCCTCCTCCTCCTCCTCCTCCTTTCCTCCCGGCGAGGAGGAGCGAGCCGAGGGGAGGGAGGTGGAGCGAGGCCGCGGCAGGCGAGGGGGCAGGCTGGGGAGGCGGCCGCCGCCGAGCCGCCGCCTGCCGCTGGACCGCGACTGGCGGCGGGGGGACTTCCGCGGGCTCTTCGCGTTGGACATGGACATCCTCGCGTGCGAGGGGGTTCTGACGAACCAACAACACACATCCATACCCGACGCCGACGACGAGGCGCTGCCGACGCCGACGCCGACAACGAGGCGCTGCCGACGTTGCCGCCGCAGCCGACGCCGACGACGTCGACGATACCGACAACATCGCCGACGACGCCGACGCCGACAATGCCGACAACGAGAACGCCGCCGCCGACGACGACGACAGCCGGACACTGTCTTGGACCTGTGGCCCTTCCCCCCAGAACCATAGTTTTTGACGAACCAACAACACACACCCATACCCATAGGGGGATCAGAGAGGGCTATGGGTGCGTGTTGTCGGATGGGGGTCCCCGCTCGAACGGGAGCGTTCCCCAGGGTCCGACAACCCGCACCCATACCCATAGCCAGTCCTCCTCCCAACGACCCCCCTATGGGTATGGGTAAGTGTTGTTCGTTCGTCAGGTTCGCCGGGGGGGATAAGCAGTGCAGCCCTTCGTGGGCCCGGGAAACTGCAGGGCCGTTTCTTCACCGTTTCCGCAAAAGTGTCCCTTGAAAATGGAAACGGCAACAAAAACGGCGACCAGAAACGGCAACAAAAACGGCTCTGGGAGTGGAGCCGGAGCAGGAACCCGTAAAAGAACTGCGACGGAACCGATGAAACAAATGCAACGGAACCGGCAAAAAACGGCAAAACGGAACCTGTAAAAACGGCCCTGTCGTTTCCAGGGCCCACTAAACTGCAGCCACCCCGTATAATTGTTATGTTGCTCCCATCGTACTTATTCAGGGCCACGTCCCAGAAATAGTTTCGGGCACTCGGAAAAGTGTCGAAAGAGTGTCGAACAAGTGTCGGGCGAATGTCTCCCAGGGCCCGACACGTGAAAACCTCGGAGCTTCGGTACTTTCCGGGTGCTCGAAATTCTTTCTGATGATCAAGGAAAGAAGGTTGGAACATCATAACCGTATAATAAGGATGCGCGGTGAAGATGCAAGGGCCTTTGAGGGCCATGTTCGTGTTATCTCGAACGAGGTTGGCCAGCGAAAGTCGCTGAGGATGGGTCGATGGAGGAAGGATGCAAGGATACCCTTGGGAAGGTTCCCCATCCTAGCTATGCGGTTTGACTGTAACAGTACGGAATCGCAATCAGCACACGGACACTGTGCCGCAGCCTTTGGGAGGTGTGGGACGCAGGGACATACTAATACTGTATGTCCTCAATGGAGGCGCGCGTCTGAACCGGACATATAGTATGCCCGTATTGTCGTATATCGTTTCCCGAGCGGTGCGGCCAGACGCCCGCCACGACGCATATACTATACTATCAAATTTCTCGGCGCGCGCGTCGCCCCAGGGGGGGGCGACGCACTTGGGGTGACGCCAGGAGCGGGCGGGGGGAATAAAGCAGTAGTAGCAGTAGGGAATCGCAATCCGCACGCCGACATGGTCCCACAGCTTTTTGGGAGCAGGTGGCGTTCATCGCGCCCTAGGCCCCCTCTTTGCGAGGGCTAAGCGGGGCCTGCCAACAACCAGAGATCAGCAGAGGTGGAAAACGCGGGATTGCCCATCATCCGGACGTGGGGGGGGATTGCTCATTCCTGTTCTAATTATACTGACCGCGGGGATCCTGGTCCAGCCAGGCCGCAAATCAAACAATCAACTCCCGTCGGGGAAGACACCGCCCGACTTTAGGGGCAGGCACCTCAGGAGCCGCGACAGAACCTCCTTCCCCACCTTCGAAGGATATGGACAGTGGGCGGGGGCGAGGGGGAGGAGGAGGATGAGGAGA